CTATGGAATCCTATGGGAAAATGTTTATTTTCCAAATGTAAAAAAAAATTATGAATAGTGAATAATTTAACCAAAATGTAATACTAAATATTATACAAGGGATTTTTCTTAACCAAAATGACAAAAATGGCATAAAAACACATATTATTCTAATACGGGTCCTTTTTGATCCACTTATGGAAGAGTGTAGGGTCCAGTCACTTGTGCATCTAAGGGTTAAGTAAACAAATTAATGCAGGACCTTTTTTTCTTGTAACAGAATATTTCGGTGCTGCGTTATTAAGACCTTTACTAGAACATATGAGTACTTTGCCCACCTAAATTCCTGAGCTCTTCACTTACATATATGTATAGCACATACATCCATTTACAGTCTACACTTTTATATATTGTTACAATAAGCTGTTTTTATTCCACTTTAAAGTATTTAAGTTTACACTGTTCATCTAATTCAATTGTACATGTGCAAAAGTGAATTTATTCCTATGTTTTAAATGCAACTGGTGCCTCTTGCACTATTTTCTTTCTCTAGTTTATGTATTTTGCTCTTTATGTCTTAAAGGTCACCTTTTATGCAAAATCCTCTTTTTCACGTATTTTATACATAAAGAGATTCTGAAAGTTTCAGGAAAAAAGATTATCTCTCTTTTTGTCCTGATCCATTTATATAAAAACCTGTCTGAAAATGAGCTGATCAGATTTTGGCCACTTAATGATGTCATAACGATTTTTTGCCCCCTTTTTTGCCCCCTTATTTGGCACCTTATTTTCATCTAAAGTAACAGACAGAGAATCAGCACTTTTGAAACAGGGCTGAAACAGAGGGGATTATGGAATACTACAATAATCTGTTTGGCATTTCGAGACATGTTTTGTATATATCTGAGACCTATAATATATTGATGAAAAACAGTATAATAGGGGACCTTTAAGTCTACTGTATGTTGTACTGTTGGAAAAGCCTTTGACGTTCATTGTGTTCATGATTAAGAAACCTGTGAATCATTGAAACCTGCTGTCAGAATGCTCCGTGAATTCATTGAACGATGCTTAATTTAATCTCAAATGTTATTCTCTTCAATATATCTAGATCATCACCTTCTTTGGGGGCCAGGTGTACACCAATGAGGCGACGGGCAGCGAGGCCAGTCGCCTGTCCTTCGCTGGCGAGTACCTGGGGGGGGACGCCTCCCTGATGATCAGCGACCTGCTGCTCAGCGACTCCGGGGAATACCACTGTAAAGTGAAGACTGGGGGAAAGTACCACTGGAGCCAGGTCAACCTCATTGTGCTGGGTGAGTGTCGTCAGTAGTGGCGGTTCTAGACCAATTTGACTGCGGGGGCCAGGCTGGGGCCAGTTATTTCATGAGAGGGGCCCAATAAAAGCGGGTTAAAAAGACAAAGACAGTATAAATTAATTGTGTAAAATAAACATAAAATACAGTAATTGGTATTTGTTTTAGTAAATTGAAGTTACAGTCCTTTGTTTCAGTCGTTTTTTCCATTTATAGTAGGGGTGCATCGAATGGGAAATTCTTGGCCGAAACCGATACCGAAAATAGGAAACAGTTGGCCGAAAACCGAATGCCGAAAGGCCGAAAATGATTAATAGAAATATATATATATAATAACGTATACATTTTTTACCAATGTTGTTCAGCTACCTGATTATGGAAAAAGACATGATTATGGCAAAACTTAACTTAACTTAAATAATAATCACTATTATGGGTCCATAAAACATTTATTCAGCACTTTTGAATGCATACAGTACATTAATTCCAAGTCAAGTGCATTTTCTTTTCTCTGTAGGATAACTACAACAAAGTGCATTCAGAACAAAGCCAAGGTGCTTTAAAACTGCATAAACATCTAGGCCAGTAGGCCTGCAACAAAATAGTGTAAATAAAGACTGTAACAGCCAGGCCTTCAACAACATACAAATGCACCCTATAAAGTTTGTTAACCTAACAATGTTATTGTGATGACGTTAATCAAAACGCGGCGACAAGCACGGCGCGCGCATGCTCGGGCTGGCTCACAGCCACATGTCTGCGGCTTGGGTATTCAAAATTCAGAGAGAGAGTCCCGCGGATGCGATTTGTAAACGTGTTCGCTGACATTCTCGAGGGGGTGTCCTGCAAAGGACTTTCACCACTTCGGCGGATTCCTCCACCACTTGATATCAAAACACCCAGGACAAATATGCGGAGTATGATCAACGTAACCCTGTTCTCTGACATTCGGTGATATTTTTTTGGTGTTAAAAACCCGGAAAGCCGAAAGGCCCTTTTTAATAATTTTCGGTGGCCGAATATTCGGTGCATCCTATTTATAGTACTTGTTTTAGTATTTAAAGGTCCCTATTGTACTGTTTGTCAACAATATCTCATAGTTCTCAGATTTTACAAAACATGTCTCTGAGTGTCTGAACACCAATAGATCATGCAGCATCCCATAACTCCCCTCTGTTTCTGCCTGTTCCAAAGTGTGATTCTGT